CCTTCCACGAAAACCTTAAATAATCTCAGATGTTAGAGATGGCAGGGGAAGGAAGATAGGATTGACACTGAGTTGTTAATGCCTTTTCTTTAACAGAATCTTTATTTCCTAAAGTTTGGATAGAGATTTCTAAAATTTCAGAATAAAATAAGAATTAGAGTAAATCTTAGTGCCCAGCAGATGTTAGACCTCAAAGGAGTTGTAGCCCCATGTCTGACCCCTCATTTGCTCAGGAGTCCAGACTTTGGCCATCGAGATAAATGGCAAGCATGTCAGGAGGACCCCAGCTCTGCTGAGAGACTTGGCAGGGCCTGATGACGGTGTAACAGGACCCAGTAACAATATTGTATTGCAGGAAGGAGGTCCACAGCTGAACTTGGATGCAGAGAACAGAGTTGTAGCTTGACTTCCAAGTGTCTTTTGGGTGATGAGCTAGAATGTGGACAGGAATCACAAGGGAAAGACAGGATCAGGCTGGACACATTGAAATGCCTGTTGCCAAGTAAGCTAGTAATTACCCCATATAATGTATTTATTTGCAACAGGACATAGTTTTCAACTTAGGGTTCTTTTAGGGTTCTTTCTCATTGAAAGACACTCTTATTATGTTGTGTCTCTTTTCCTTCCCCTAGAGGAATTTTTTTTTTTTTTTTTTGGTGGTATTAGGAATTGAACTCTGGGCTTTCATACTGAGTTATCTTTCTAGCTCTTTAATTTTTTTTTTAAATTTTGAAACAGAATCTCACCAACTCAGAAGTTGCCCAGGCTGCTCTTGAATTTGTGGATCTTCCTGGCTCAGCCTTTCAGACTGCTGGGATTATAGGTGTGGGCCGCCACGAACAGCTTTGGATAAATTTTATAACAATGTTTCCCACATTTAAAGTTTGTTTTTTTTTTTTTTAATAAACTGGGGATAAAGGAAAATGTTATACCTGTTCACTCGGATTTGTCACCTTAGTTTGCTGTTTGATTTCATAAAAGATTTTTCCAAAATCACTGCCTTGAGAGTTACGGTACTTATGAGTGCTACTAAGGGCTTGTCACTGTATATTAACCAAGATTGTTACACATTTCATATGGAGCTTTAAAGATATTTGTTTCACTTTTCAAGTAGTGAATCAAGTGATTTTAGCGGTGTATAAGCCTGTGATTGGGGTGGGGATACGGCGAGGTGTGGGGAGTGTGACTTTGGCCCCCTCTGTACCCCACCAGTTACTGTTTCCTGTTAATCCACCTCCCTGCTCAGGAAACTGAGGCCAGATAGTTAAGTTACCTGGGGTCACACAAGTGAATCCTGGATGACCTTCTGCTCCTAGGATGGTAGACCCCAACAGAGGAGTTGCTTGGGCTGCACGTTGCCATGGTGAGGTGATGTTTGGGGAAGCAGAATCTACTTATGGTTTTAAGAAATCATAAATGGCTCCCACAGGCTGCGAGACATGGCGGATTTCCTTGTAGAGTTGGAGTTATTTCAGGGAGGAGTATGTTGGTGTGGGACAATGGGATGTGTTTTGCATAATACACTTTGAAAAGGGCAACAAAGAAAAATGCAAATATGGAATTTGCCTAAGCAAATTTGCTGCACTTCATTTGGTAGGAGTGTATGGTGGTACACACCTGTACCCCCTGCACCCTGGGAAGCTGAGGCAGGAGGATCACAAGTTCTAGCTCAGCCTGAATAGCTTAGTGACCCTGTCTCAAAATAAATAAAAATTTAAGAAAGGATCTGAGGTTGTAGCTCAGTGAGATGGCACTGAGTTCAATACCTAGTACTTGGGAAAAAAAAGTATATCATTGTAGGCATTTCTAATAAATGGGTAGACCAATAGGAATCAAGTTGTTTTAGTTACTATTATGTACTGCTTGGCATTATAATTATATTCACCAGTGATCTGAGGAACCAACAGAGTGGCCCCTTAACAGCTTTTATTCTGTGAGCTGTGTAAGTTTTGATGCTTTGAGGTTGGGGTGTAACCATGAAGTGATGACTCTATTATATTACTAGTTCTAGAGGGAGGGAAGCCAGGATGGGACAGAAGGGACCCACCGATGGGAGAGGCCTTCTAGTCCTACCTCCTAGCATGTCACTGCCCTTGGTTTAGGGGAAAGTTTTCTTTATTTTAATATATAATCAGGTCACCAAAGGAACAGCATGAGTCAGAAAGCACATGTGAGGATGGATGTGAATGACGTGTCTGTTGGAGAATGGTCAGGATTCTTCCTGTGGTATTTCCATCGTCACTAACACAGAGGAAGCCACACTAGATAGAAATGCTACTGGAGCAGCTCAGAGATGTTTAGAGGACTTTAACTTTTCACACACACCAAAATATGAGGTATAAATAATAAGTTGTTGAGAGCAAAGAGCAGAGAACTTGGCTGAAGTGATTGGCTTATCTGCGTGTGGCCTGGCCCAAGGACTGTCAGCCCTGTGTGCTTTGTCTGCATGGCCATGACACTGAGCTGTGTAGAATAATTAGAATATCATAGCATAGAACAATGGAATTGCCACTTTTTTTTTTAACTAGAAGGAATCTCAAAAACCTAGTCCAGTGGTTTTCAAACTTGATTTTCGCGGCCAAAGTTTTTCCTTTAAAAATGAAGTCTAAATGGAACCTCAATTTTCTAAAACCGATAAGAATGGTCTGTATTGGCTGGGGGAAAAGTTCATTATCTGCAGAAGCCCTTAAATATCTCAAGTGGTGCAGTTTGAAAACCATTGATCTAGTCCAACCCTTTCATTTTACAGATGAGCAAACTGAGGTCCAGAGAGGTTAAGTGACTTACCCAAGGTCACACAGCTAGTCGTGGAAGAGCCAGGACTAGATCTCAGGTGTCTTGATTTCCAGTCCAGTGCTCTTTCCATTACATCACACTGCCCGTAAGGTAGGTGTTGTACTAGTATTATGCTCATAGCTGCTAATAGTCTGCAGTATTTTCCCACTGTGCTATACTATGCATTGAATGTTTAGTGTATTATTCAGGAACGTATAGAATATGGAAATACAGATTAGAGGCACATACGTATGCTCTTAGGAGACAAATCAATATTTAGAATGTTTCCTTTCACTGTTAAAATTATTTTAAAGCAATGCATTTAGGTAATGTCTGAGTTACACAGGGTATTTTAGGCTAATATCAATAATCAATATGCGTGGAGTCAGTATGTTTTAGTGCAGACAAATACTCAGTGGGCGCAGGGTGGGGATTTCTGGCTGCCGCTCCCCTGGGGACCGTGCGGTGCTGTCCTTTCCCATCCTGGCCCGTCTCCTGTCTCCAGAGCAGTGCATCCCCTAGCTGATCTCAGGCCTCTTCTCATTTCACACTAAACTCGCTAGAGCTTTCCTCTGTCCTTGTGTACTTGTGCTTTCTTCCACCCCAAACTCCTTTATCCTTCTTGATCTAGGGCATTGGTGGCAAGCCTATGGCACATGTGCTGCAAGGGGCTGTTGGTGATCATCGACAGCTCCAGAAGGTTCGCCATCACTGATCTAGGGGTGAAAATTGTCACTGGGGACCCAGGAATGTAAAGGATGCTCACTGTAGAACTCTGTGGCCTTGGCATGTCCATGGTTGGCTCACCTTGTTTTCAGATGTTCCTCTGATACCATCACACTGTCACTAGAAGGCTGGAAAGTAGGGAAACTGACTTAACACTTTCATAACTATTGTTTTATCAACTTAAAGAGGCATAGGGAGCCCCGCAGCCCCCGTGCTTTGGTAGGATCCTCCCGTGGAAGATCTCTGGGAACGTACATGTTACTCCTAACCCGGGGACAGACAAGAGGGTTGGTTTCATCAGGAGGCCCAGCTGCTGTGCAGAACAGTTTGGGAGCTGTGATTTCAGTCAAAGTTGGATATGATTTGCTTCTGACATTTTTGGGGAGATTGATCTAACCCAGAGCTTTCACAGTAAGCTACTTACTTCCCTTTTTAAATTTTTTTCTCTCAGATTTTTTATGTCTTATCAAGTACATAGGTTTAGTTTCTAAGCCATAGAGATATACTCAACAAGCAGATATTTCTTTAGCCCTACTTTTGTTTGAGAATCGAGGTGCAGTGATTAGTGACCAGATCTCATTTATGGAAAGCATTCCTTGTGAAGTTCAGGTCTGTGGATCATCTAATACACCTGTGCATCCAGGGTGTGCCTGTCCAGCTCTAAGACCCAGTGATCCTAGCAGGACTCACACTCAGAGCATGTGTTTTCTCAAGTTAAAAAAAATAAGTGGTGCCCTGGATTTTCCTTGTAGTCTCAGGTATCTGTGTCCAACTGATGCTTATATTGGTGACCATGACAGTGTTGGGGTTTGGAGTGTTACTTTGCTTATTGTGTCAGCTCTGTTGGCTCATTACTTTGCATTAAATGTCTCAGCAATGACGGGAACCTTCTGTATTTTTGCAATCTGGTTTCATAGCAGTAGGTGGTTGTTGAGCACCTGAAATGTGAATACAACTACTGAAGAACTGAACTTGAAGCTTTATTTGATTTTTTCATTAGTCAACATCTTAATTTACATTGCCACACGTGGTTACTGTGTTGGCCAGCACTGCTCTCAGGTGCACTTTGCTGCAGAAGTCAGGTGCCAGGTGGAGCATGAGGTCCCCATTTGTCTACATGGTGATGGTCTCCCACCCAGGAATCTTCACCAAATATAACCAGTCTTAAGGGAACTTGTTTAGAAGTCAAGCACTCTGTGTTTTGCATAAATGGTATCTGTGGAAGAGACTGGGTTTCCTCTTGTTTGAGCTTCAAGGGCAAAGATGTTTGCTGATTTGACCCTGGTGTATTTTCTCCTTTGAGCAATCTGGTGGTCATCTTAGTCGTAGCGCAGCTCGGGTCGCACTGAATTCCCATAGGTTTCCAGGGAAGCTGAGTTTTGAAAGTTTCCAGCCCAAAGAGGCATATTCTGTTGATATTACAAGCTCAAAAAGGAGTGTCTGAACTATGCTGGTTTCTGAGTACTGTGTCAAACAACCTGTCTTTCTTCCCCCCTCAGAACCAAAGAAAATGGCTTTGACAGAGAGCCTTTGCACTCAGAGCATCCAAGCAAGCGACCATGCACTATTAGCCCCGGCCAGCGGTACAGTCCAAATAACGGCTTGTCCTACCAGCCAAATGGGCTGCCTCACCCCACCCCACCTCCACCTCAGCACTACCGTTTGGATGATATGGCCATTGCCCATCACTACAGGGACTCCTATCGACACCCCAGCCACAGGGACCTCAGGGACAGAAACAGACCTATGGGTAAGATAAGTATCTGCTTGCCTCTTTGGGGTGGATGCTTGGAGTCTTGTCATTGCTTCTTAAACTGAATCTGAGGCTTGGGATTGGATAGGGGTAAAATTCTCTACATTGTCTCCTTTATAAGAAAACTGGGTTAGCATTAATTCTCTCTCTCTCTCTCTCTCTCTCATATTCTTTATGATCATTTTTGTTGAACGAGGCATCATATTTTATTATAATACCCTTATTTGTGATAATGAAAATATCCTGAATTTTTAGTTCAAAATCCTTTTTAACATGAGCGATTTTACATGCTCTGTACCTGCCACAGATTTTTTCTTTGGAAACAGTCTTTCTGTGTACCCCAGACTGGCACTGAATTCGTGATCCACCCCTCTCAGCCTCCTCAGGGCTAAAATTAGTCACATGCCACCATAGCTGGCATGCCAGAGATATTTTTAAAAAGTAGTTTATTTTATTGTATATTTTGTTCAAATGGCCTCAAAGTTCATTTTGGCACTTCCTATCTCCTTGATATTCCAATCTTTTTAAAATGTTACATAGCATTCTATCTATGGTTTATCTGGACATATATGCTTGAGAAATGCTTGACACTTTACTTAATGGTACAAGTGAGTAAAATTAGTGGTGTTTGTTTTGTACCAGATCAGAATGTAGGTGTGAGTTTGGGCAAATATGTGTTCAGTTTGACTGTGAGCATTTCTTTTTTTTTAATTTTAAAAACAACAAAAAGAATAAAAACGATGATACAGAATTTCAAAATAAAGTAATATGAAATTAACCCTAGCTAATATATGGCGTACTGTTATCTTCGAAGTGGTTGTTCAGATTATAAGGTTTAGGCTTCAAAAAAAAATGATCAAATAATGAAAGCACCAATTTTTCTTTTTGATGAACTAACACATTAGTAGTATAGTTAGCTATCTTGTGTGTGTGTATATATGTGCACATACATATATGTATGTATGCATATATATAGATATATATATATATTTCTGTAAACTGTTGGAGGTGAAGCTTTGAGGCAACATTGCTTTCAAAGAACAAGTGTCTACCATGGAAAGCAGAGAGAAGATGAACAAGGTAAGTTCTGGTATACGATCCGTGGTCAAAGTGGTGGTTTAGGTGGTAAGGAAGGACACTGTTCTGAGGATACCTTCAATCCTTAATTGTTAATGAGGCTGAGGGCAACGGCCAACCCTGTTTTCTTTTCATCTTCTATGTCCATCTCACCTACCAGAGGATTTCCTTCACCTTACAACTCGTTGCTGGCAAATGTTCCTGACATGGGTGATTTGATGGCCAAGGCACTAGAAAGAGAAGGGACAAAGCCCAAATGAAAAAGAGTGCAGAACTCTGGGAACCGCAGTCAGCCATCTGTCCACTCACTGCTTGAATAATTGTGACAGTTTTTTGTTTTCCGAGGAGAGACAGCCTGATATGCAGAAGTTTGTTAGTTTTCCGACTAGGTCACTAGCAAACAGACTGCTGAGGATAGAGTCTTTCTCATCTTTTGATACAGAACCCTTGACATGTTTAGAAAGCAGCAAGGGTAGAGAAAGAGATGATAGAGGCTTTGCTTGTGAGATAGTAAATTAGTAGTTATGGCTCTCCACAACACTAATTTCTCCTTTTATTTAGTACGTCAGACCTAAGCACACAATTTGTACCTTCTTAGTAACTAATCTGTCTAACGTCCTCTCAGATACTGTTTCTGAAGAGCTTTCAGAATTGGTTATTTCTCAATCTGGACTATTTTGACCTCAAAATCAAATCTGATAACCCCCTTCTATGCAAAAATTTTACCATTATCTGTGATTGCTTATTTTTAAATAGCAGAGTCATCAGATCACTGAAGGGATCCCTTGTTGTAGGTGCTAGGGAATGGCCTATTTCTTAGACAGAAAATGCTACTTGATGAAATATTACAGTGCACTATAAAATAATCAGCAAGGAAGTAATTATGCTTATGTACGATGATTATGTTTTCATCTAGTAATGTGAAATATCCTTTATGAGTTATATCTGTATCCATTGGTTTTATGTGATTTTCTTCAGACTGTGCTCTTTACCTTTTAATTATATTAGCTTATAAAACTAATAGTGCTAATCTTTAAATATGTGCAGTTACTTAACCATCCCTGAAGTCTGGCAGATTTTAGTGTGTGCTAATGTAAAATAAAATCTTGATATAGGAGTAGCAAATTATGGTGTTACATCCAGTGGCCATTTTGAGACTATAAAAATTACCATGAAGATTTAGTCTGGTATGATTCATGAGTGCCCATTGTATGGAAGGACATATACTCTCTAGAATTCTTTAATAAAATAACTTTATAAGCAACATTCGTTTGTAAGGTTAGGTTTTGAACTTAGCTAAAGTCTTCTAAAACTTAAGCATGAGTTAGGACACCACTGGTGCGTCCACCACGTTTCCCACATGTGGAAAATATGCTCTTTAATGATCATGAGCTACTTTTGCCTAATACATCCATTTAGTATTATACATATAAATAAACATTGTGTGCTGCTGAATATTTAAGAATGTGAAGTAGAAATACTAAGAAATGTGAAATTTCATGTGTCTTACTCTTTCCTTTCAAAGATGTGTTTCTAACAAATGACCTCCAGAGTTTAAAACAGCAAATCAATCCTATATGTCTTCATCAAGTACTTGGGTTCAAACTTGTTTTTAATATTACTAATTTTTAAAAAGTGAGATGATTAGTCGTCTTCTATAATTACTAGGATCCCATTCGCCCCAGACATCTCCTTGCTCTTTAGTTATGCCAGATGTTAGAGCATGTATCCTTATTGTCATAGTTTGCTGAGTTCTTGAAAGATTTTTCTTTGAGCCAAAGTTGTGCTATATGGTTCTCAGGTTGGCTTTGAACTCACTATGTATGTAGCCCACACTGGTCTTAAACTTCTGATCTTTCTGCCTCAGCTTCTGCGTGCTGGTGTTATAGATGTATACCACCATCTCTGGCTTAAAAAAAAAAAAAAAAACAACTTAAAACCTCTGGAGTTCTTGGCCTTCAAAGGCAATTACTTAGATATCACCATTAGGGAATCCCCTATCAGTTTTATATTCTTATCATTCTCTGGTTGTTTTCTGTGATGACTAATTTTAACAGTAGTGCTTTTCCCCTAAAACACAGGCAATAAATAAGTCAACAAAAATTACATATTTGCAAACATTTCAACTTGAAATAATCACAACAAGCAGCAATAACTATTACTTTCCCCCAGTGTCTTTTCTGTTATGCAAATTACTAAGATATATTTGCAGTTTTACTGTTTTACCAATAGGTGGCATTGACAATTTTAACTTTTAAAATTTATCTCAGATTATGTTCTAATTGGACAGGAGTTTTAAATAGTATTTTGTGTTTTTTTTTCTTTTAATCCAAAAGCTGTCATAAATTTGTTCACCACTTAAATGTGAAATTGTATTTTGTGGTTGGTAGAAAAGAGTCACTCACCTGTTTTTCTCTGTCAACTGAAAGGATTTCTGACCACTTAGTTTAGTTTTCACAGAAAGTAAAACACAGCATCTTCTAAGTCTTGCTGTCATTTAATGCTTACCTGTGGCTCTCAATATGTGGAACCATATCCAACTTAACTTGTCATTCAAAGTACAAGGAGTGTCTCGCAAAAGAGCAGCTGGAGTCATTTAAAATGGAAATATCGCCGGGTCTAAGGCAGGGGTGGCAAACCTGTGGCACCGGGTCACAGCAGGCATGCGGTCTGCCTCCCCACAGCAGCCAAGCATTGGATAAATTGTTTTTTCCTAAACTAAATCCTCAGTATTCAGGTTTAATTGCAGCATTGGCACTTTGTGATAAATATGTGGGTTTGGGCCTGCAGTCTGGACTCTCAAGTCTCTAAAAGATTCGCCATCACTGGTCTAAGGCCCTTTCTCAACAGTAGAATGTGAAGCAAAGACCTTTAACCAGTTATTCTGTAGGTGGAGGAACACGTTTCTAGGCATCTTAGATGAAGCCTCCTGTTCGGCCCTTTTAGAGGGAACACATACACTTTTTATTCTGGTGGGCCTCTTAGCCAACAGCTCATGGTCATTCCTATTCACCAGTGCCACTTGGTAAACATGTGCATGTTGGGTTTCCATAATAGTGTAACTGTGATCTGGAGAACATTAATATTCATCGACTTTGGATTGTGATGGTCAATGTTTTGGTTTGCATATGTGTTTGTCAAATTGTAACTGATGCAGTGACCTTTTCTTTAAGAATACATGTTCATTTTTAATGTTTTTTGTGTTTTTGTTCAATCGAATGAGTGTATGTACCTTTCATATCCCCCAAGCCCTTCATGATCAAATTTTTATTTAGTTAATTAATGTTTGTGTTGAAAATCAAACTCACAACCTTGCGCTTGCCAGGCAAGTGCTGTGCCACTGAGCTAAATCCCTGGCCCATCATGGTCAGATTTTATCGGTGAGGTATGTGTATTAAGGTTGTATTCATTTGCAGCTTTGCTGGATTGTGAAAATTTTTTTAACTATATGTATTTCGGACAAGTATATCCCTGCCCATGTAAAATGACAAGTGCTGTTTTGTTTTAAATACAGGACAGCCACATTTTGAAACCACCTAATGTCTACCTCTAGTTTCTTGTGTTTATTTAGGGCTAAGAATTGAACCCATGGCCTTGTGCATTCTAAACATGTGCCAGCAAGCCACACCGCTGACTCCAGTTCCTTGTATTTATTGAGAATGTGCTAATATTTTTGCTTAGTAAGTGTTGCATGGATGATTAGCTCTGGACTTGAGATCACTTAACTCTGCCTCCTCTAGTATGCAACAAAGGGTTCTGACCAGGAGACCTACAAGTTCTAGTTGTAATATTTTAGCATTCTAAGAAGTTATTAGGTCATTCTGAATTAATATCACTCATGTCTCCGATCAGAATCGGATATTCACACCCTTGGGTTTGCCCACATGGCCCTGCCTATGTATGTGCCTGCTTGCATGCCAGGCAGGGGTACCTAGACCTTCTTCTCTTCACTTGTAGGGTTGCATGGCACACGTCAAGAAGAAATGATTGATCACAGACTGACGGACCGAGAATGGGCGGAAGAGTGGAAACATCTTGATCATGTAAGACATCACTTATCATTTAGGTTTAAAAATGTTTTGAAAACAGTTAAAGTGAGGTTATCGGAAAAAATAAAAGAATGAAGATGCTTGGAAGGCTTTTTTTCCCTGCTCTCCTGGATGTCGGGGTGTACATTTGAAACAATAGAGGATTAGATTTCTGAATTGATATCAGCCATTTAGTAAATAAACTTTAGATCTTGGACAAAGATAGCTCAATAGGGCTACTGATTTATTGTGAAAGGGTCCTTTAGTTTATAGACTAAGGTGGTTGGTGTTTGGTTTGGTTTGTTTTTTTGAGACAGCCTCTCTCAAAGGGATGTACCACTGTGCCCAGCTAATGGGCTTAGTATTTGCCAAGGGAGATTTTACCTTTAGATGAAATCTGTTGGTCGTATTCACTCTCATACCTCATCCTCTGCCTGAGATCTCCATGGGTTTGCTTACCTATTGGGTTTGAATTTCAAATCTAGCTGTTGGAGGTACTGGATTGAAGCTTTAGGAGTAAAACCGCATCCTTGACTGTCCTGAAAGTTTGTTTCTTGCCCACCACCTTGTGCTGGTGATGCTTGCGGTGAATTACATGCCCTTCCCTCTCCTGTTTCTCACGCAGCTGTTAAACTGCATCATGGACATGGTAGAGAAGACGAGGCGCTCACTCACTGTCCTCAGGCGATGTCAGGAAGCGGACCGGGAGGAACTGAATTACTGGATTCGGCGGTACAGTGACGCTGAGGACCTGAAAAAGGGTGGCGGCAGCAGCCACTCCAGGCAGCAGAGTCCAGTCAACCCAGACCCAGTCGCATTAGGTATCAATGCTTCAGATGACCACGTTTTTACTTTTCGTTTGTTTTTGCTTGTTTTGGGTACTGGAGATTGAACCCAGGACTTTCACACAGAGCTGCAGATCTGGAGCATTTTTAGAACGAGACAGGAAGGATTTCTCTAAGTCACTGAGCTGCCCAGGCTGACCTCAAACTTGCAGTCCTCCTGATTTAGCCTCCTGAGTGGTAGGATTATAGGCATGTGTTACAATGGCTGGCTAGATGAGTATGTTAAACAGATATTTCCTGTGCTATTAAATCTGAATTCCTTTTTAATCATGTCTTTAATAAATAAAGAAATTTTGGAGAATTTAAGTAAAATAACTTCACATAAGCCCCAATTATGAAATTGGGCAGATTGGCATAAAATTCAAACTTTCCAGAGCAATGTTCTGAGAATGAACCAGCATTCCAGGTCCATCACTCGAGTTTGTGCCACTTCATACAGCTGTTAGGACCCTGCCTCAGGTATGCAAAAATCCAGGCTCATGGCGTGGACCCGTGGCTTCTGCACATGGAATAGGTACCTCGTGATTGTTCCACCATTCTCCAGCGTTTGACCGCAGTTACACACAGGGTTATGTACTAATTTTTCACATGAAGCAATCTTGTTTTGTAACTGTGTCTTGAATTCTTTTTGGTTCTTGTTTTTTATTGTTATTTTATGTATTTTTTGAGTCAAGGTCTTGCTCTGTACTCCAGGCTGGTCTTGAGCTCATTCTGTAACCCAGATTGACCTCTGACTCACAGCAATCCTCCTGTCTCAGCCTCCTGAGTGCTGGGATTACAGGCATGCACCACCATCCCTGGCTGTAGCTGTATCTTATACCAAACACACACACTCGTGAACATGCACATACCGTCTTCTCTCAAAATCCTTGCTGAATGAGAAATCTAAAAGTCATCTGGTTTGGTTGGCACCATACCGAGTAGACATTATTCTAAGGTGGGTTTTAAGGACAAAGGACCATTTGTCAGGTTGTAGTAAGGCAAGGAGTGGAAACAGAATTCAGTTTGATTTGAACCCATATTGATCTAAATGAAACTATTTAGAACAGAGCACATTAGACATTTTGTTTGTATTTCCTTACTGTGAACAGCATTAGTTAGTTGTGGCAGATTGCTTAACAAAAATGCAGGGTATTCAGTGTAGCCAAAAATTTGAGTCTTAAATGAAACTTTAGGAGTGACAGTGGAGGACTGAATGGTTTGGTCTGGTCCACATTACACATAGGTTAAGTCACTGTTTACTGAACACTTATTTGTGTGCTGGGGGTTTGAGCAGGCCATATAGAGATCTTGGATCAAGGAGAAGAGTTCACAAGAGATTTTCTAGTTACAAGCACAAGACTGCCTTCCTCAGTCCTCTCAACCTGATTGGTTTGCTTTCATCTGCCGTCCACTGCAGAAGGAAAACATTGGCCACTGATTGGAGACTTCATGGCTCAAAGAGTTTTCCTTAACACACAGGATGCAGGCCACTCTGTTCAGGGTCCCCACTGCTGCATGCAGGTGTGTGATGCTGATGTAAACCTCATTCTGAGGGAAGAAAGGGTCAGCCTCTGTGTTTTCTAGTGAAAGAAGAAACTTGATTTTTAAGAACTCTTCCTTGTGAGTGAGTACACATACTAAGCCAGGTTCAGAGGTACAAACCTGGAATGCCAGCTCCGTAGAGCCTGAGGCAGCAGGTCCGCAAGTTCCTGGCCAGCCTGGGCAATTTAGTGAGAGATTGTCTCAAAATGAAAAGACATCAGGGTGCAGCTCAGCTGTGGGTACTTGATGTGCATAAGTACTACCTAGCATGTGGGAGGCCCTGAACTGTATCAGTAGTACCAGAAAAAGCATTTAAAAAGGTAAAAGCTTTGACTCCTTGTAGTAATGTTTAATGAATTTTTATTTTAGGTAAAGCGGAGATGTTACTTTGGCTTTAAGCTTTTGTAGATCATTACTATCCAGTGGCTACAGGTACTGCATTACTTTGTTTAGGCTCCATTGAAACAGTCATGCTTTTTCTAGACACAACCCTAGATTGCCTATTAAGAAACCGTCACAACTGTCAGGAGCTATGCAAAATACAATTGTTAGCATCCTACGTTTTTCATCTCATGAGTTCTTGCTGGTTAGTTGGTTGATTGGGTTCTTGTGGTACTGAGGTTGAACCCAAGGGCCTCCACACAGAGCTCCACCTCCCATTGTTTGTTTTAATTTTTGACTTTGAGACACCCTTATTTATGGGAAGTCTAGGAAGGCTTCAAACTTGCTACTCTCCTGCCTCAGCCTCCCCAGCTACATTTGACTTGTAGTTTACTAATGCAGTCTTTGTGTTTGGTTTCCTGCAGCTAAGCTGTGACTGTAAATAGGAGGTTAAGTAGTTTGTAATCATGAACCACAGTTGTTTACATTTAGTCCTTTCCACAGTCTCCTTTTCACGCTTCAGAGTTGAATGTATTGATATGTGTAATGAAAGTATTAGGGATTATTGGCTAATAAGTCAATTTGCTGCTTCTGGGAAGTGTTTAATGGGAGGTGTATATACAGATAAAGCTATGAAGGTATCTACATTTTTATATATGCATAGATCTCCTCACCCTACAGTTATGTAGTATGATTCTTTTAGCCTAATTTTCTCAATTCTTAAACCATTTGGTTTCAAGGGAGACATTCAGAATAAATCACAGGAGATACCTACTCACATAGGTATGACTTGGAAACCCTGGGGATATAGTTACCTACGCATTCTTACCGTGTTTAATTGCTTCTGGGGACTGCACGGAGGAGCATGAAATTCCTGTGATTGATGTATCATGTTGTTGGACTCAATCCCATCTGCACTTTAAAATTTATGTATAGTATTAAGTTAGCACCAGGGACTAGAAACAGTACAATTGGTTTATTATTAATTAATTTCTAGGTGTTTTTCTTAAATAGTAAATACTCTATTGTGAATAGTTTTAGAAACTTCCTTCCTTCCTTCCTGAGACAGGTCTTCCTAGTTCAGATAGTCTGTCCTTGAGCTCCCTGTGTAGCTGAGGCTGGCCTGCCTTCCGAGTGCTGTGATTCTAAGTGTGTGTCACAACACCCAGCCCTAAAACCATTTTAAACACTAAGGACCTTGAAGGACTTTTCAGAAAATACTATTTTAAAATTATTTTACCAATATAGGATTTGAGTTCAAGACCTTGGTACTCACCCACATCCCCAGCCCTTTTAAAAATTAATTTTATTTATTATAATTTTAAGAGAGGATCTTGCTACATTGCCAGCTTGCTCAGGCTGGGCTTGACTTGTGATCCTCCTGCCTCAGCCTCTCAGACTGCTGGGTTTACACGTATGTCAGAATATGCAGTTTTAAAGTGTGACTTTTTTATATGTTTAAGTTTTGTTATATTGTGTATTTCACTGAAGAGCAAGTTAATGTGATAAGAGTGAGAAATTTAATCACTGGTGCAGAGTGGCTTTGATACATCTCGATACTGTACATACTAGGCTGGGTCCCTCTAGGTCCTGGCCTTTCCTGTTCAGTTCCTTTTCCTTTCAATATGCTGCTTGTATCACTGTCTTGTTTTTTAATGTTTTGTTGTTTCCTTTAAATTACTTTCTTTTTTTCTGGTATTGGACTATTCTGAAATCTTTCTCTAATTCGTTATGTGCCTTCTGGGTTTTGAAGAAGTCTTCTACTTATCAGAGAAGGTTTTTGAAAATTATCTAATACCAGGCACTGAGACCTAAAACCTTGAATGTGAATACTTTCATTTCTTGTGTTTTTTGAATGTATGAATAGTGCAATAATAGGGTACAAATGTAGAAAGTACTTTCATGTATGTTTTGCTGTTTGTCCCTTGCCAGAGAGAAATGTCATAAAGAAGGTTTTTAAGTGGGATGAAAAAATCAAATACTCATAAAAAGTTTAGCAGTTCAGGAGTTTGTCAAATGGATAGAGGAATTCCTGTTTTAAAATTGGTAAGTTAGGGGCTAGAGATTTAGCTCAGTGGCATAAGCGCCTGCCTTCCAAGCAGGCAGTCGTGAGTTCGATCCCCGGTACTTATAAAAAGGAAAAAGACAAAAACAAAAAACAAAATTGGTGAGTTGGCAAGAATTGCCAGGAGACTAAATTATAGAATTTCCCTTTGCTATCTAAATTGTCAGGAGATCTAGCATAAGGGTTAAAAGCACAGAGCCTGAATTCTTGGTTCCTCTCTATAGTTGTTCTGTGGCTTTAGTCAAGTTATTGTCATCCTGGTTTCCTTGTCTAACATGAAGATGATATCATACGTCTTCCATGGGCATTTCTGTGAGTTTCAAGTGAGTTACTAAGTATCAAACACGTAAGACTGTGCCTGACACATATGAGATGTAATTAAGTAGTATTATTCCCAATGTGCATGTTTTTTTGGGGGGGTTCCTTTTTGGGACTGGGTCTCACTATGCAGTTTAGGCTCACCTTGAGCTCACTTTGTAGCCCAGAGTAGTTTCAAAGTTGCAATGATTCTCCTGCCTCAGCCTCCAGAGTGATGGGATTATAGCCACCATGCCCAGCCCTGATGTGCAATCTAAAAAAAGCTTTAAACAGTAGTACTGAGTGAAAAGTGGGTTTTTTTTTTCTTGACATAAATGATTGTGGCAGAGTCTTAGTCTTTTTTTGCCTAGAAAATATTTTTAAGCGGTAATTTTAGGTTGCTACTTTATTTAGAGAAATTGGAAAATAATCCTGTCTTCAGTGTCACAAACCTATTGTACCTTTAGGACCCTAATTCAAAATACGTGACTATAGGCAAATATTTTCCAATCAAGGAAACATTATTCATCTTATAAATACCAGAAAATAAAAACTACAAAGAAGTTATTTGGAATATATCTATGTGTAAAAGCCTAGAGTTTTATATACTGGATTCTTTGATATTGCATAAAGAAATTCATGTCATGACTCCTCAGCTGACTTGATAACACAAATGCCTACTGCATTTTATTAAGTCCACTTTATTTAGCTATGTTCGGTCTAGAGAGACTATTAGTTAAATGTGTCTGTCTTTTAAAAATGAGGACATGCTCCTGGAACATTAGGTTATGCTTACTATTAAGAATGAAAAATCTCAAAGCAATTGTTCCCTTTAGGTTGAATTTGGACTTCTGAAACCCAGTGTTGAGATTTCTGAATTTATAATCCTTTCAAAAAACAAAACAAAAACAGGTCGCATTTGTAAAGACAGACATCATTTAACTTCCCTTTCTTTTGACATTTTTGGTAATAGATACTGTCATGATCACAGCCTCATTCTGCCCATTACTAGATGAAGCCACACCCAGGTGTTGCCAAGCATTGAGCATCGCTGTCCTGGGTCGTAGGAGGTCAGTGGGCTCTCCCACAGGCCTCAGCTCACTCCTTCATGCCCATGGATGGCTGCCCTTGCTGTATTGAGTACTCTTTAGTGGCCTCCATTCTGTCATAAGTGTAGTGTGCAATCCTTCTCCTTCATGCGTACACCATCCTGTCCAATGTCTTGCATTTCCTTCACTCTGAAGCCCCTTCTTTTTGTGGATGTCTGTTATCTTAAAGGGGCTGCCTTCCTCCTCTTCCTCAACCTTTGAACAATTTACTTCTCAAAGCAAGCTGTGTTAGAAGGATGCTATAATTTTTCAATCTCTCAGTAGTAACCTATGTGTATATGTCTCACATTTTAATTCGTCTCTAGTAGACTCGCCAATGTTTGTTTTTTCCAACTACTCATTTTTATAGCAACTGGCATTTGACAGGTGGTTGAGTTAATCTCTTAAGAATTGATGCCTTAGAACCTTAAAGTTTGTCTAGATTAGTTTTGCGTATATTATCAAGTATTGTAAAAGAGCAAAGTCTGACAAGAGTTGTCTTTTGTTCTCATTATTGACCAACTACAGAACTCAGTTTTGCCTGTATTGGTTCTGACATTGCTGCTGATTATTTCCAAAGAAGTATTCAAAATATTAATTGTTTACTTTCTGTAGCTATTAAAGTAGCTTTGATAGTCATCTGAAAATCAAATAGATTCTGAGGAGTTCCGAGCTGTTCTTTGCATTGTTAGATCTGATGTTTAGCCAGGGACACAGGCACTGGGAAGGGAGGAGGAGATGGGATGTAAAATGATTGAGATGTGGTATGTATCTGCACCAATTCTCTGAGATATATGTAATTATTATGTATCCCAAACATATGTCAGTAATTTTTTTTACAAAAATTATTAAAAAAAGAGAATAGAGAGGATATTGTAATCATTTATTTGGCCATTTTGAAAATAAACCTTGTAGAAGTAGATTATGGTTAAGAATAGTATTATTTAATGTGAGTGTGCTGACATACACCTGTTATCCCAGCACTCAGGAGGCTGAGGCAGGAGGATCACTGCAATTTCAAAACCAGCCTGGGCTACATGGTGAGACCCTGTCTCAAAAAAATTTTTTTGTGTGTGTATTGGCTTTGGTATTTCTGGTCAGGTAGCATATGGGACTGTGTGGATATGGTACTGTGTCACTGAGGAGTTGAGGGAGGTGTATCCAGTGTGACAGAGGAACTCTCAAGACACACATGGAAGGCAGAAGGTTGACTGAGCCCTACATGTTAACATTTAGTAAATGTAAAGACTATAGCATCTGAGAGACATAAGCAGAATTTGAGACTTTTGCTTCTGGGGACAGAAACTGAATTTGTAGCTGTAGAAATAATTTCTATCCTCAAATGACATATATTCTGGCAGTTAAAAATTTTCCTGATGCATTGCTGAATCCAAACTTCCCCAGTGGTTTTGTTTTCTTTGAAATTTGAAGCTGTTTGATTAAGTCGTGGGAGAAAAAAGAAAGTTTACAGTGCATAGTGTTACTTTCAGGAAATGAGTTTACTTTCGTCCTAACTGGACATGTTGCTGTGTGATGACAATGATAATAAGATGGTGAACAGCAGGTAGCATCTTCTGAGAGTTTAGGATGCACCTTGCCAAGAGGACCCTCGATCAGTCCTTCGGGCAGCACTTGCAAGGTGCAGTAGGGTTGTGTCCCGACTTCACAGGTGAGGAAACTGAGGTGTGGAGCGAGACTGACTTGCCCGATATCACACAGTCAGTAGTTGGCACAGTTAAGCTTCAGATCCACTGGGTTCTTGAACTAACTCCTGTATTTCCTGGGGCTAGTACTTAGCTTTCATGCATAAGCTTTGGAGACTTTAATTCGCATTGCCTGTATATTATTTACCAAATGACAGTTTTTGAAAACTACTGATATTTTCTTAATCTGCTAAATGAAAAAAACTGTTTTGGTACTTTGGAGAAGGTTTCCCTGTCTTTGACTTTATAGATCTAGTATCACCTAATTAAATGTAAGTCAAAGTATTTTGTCTTAAACAGTAGTCGGATTTCACTGTGTCACGGGGATAAACATGAACTTGACTGTATTGCTTATCTTTCTTTTTTTTCTCTTCCTTTCTTTGTCTTCTGTCCTTCCTTTTCTCTCTCCCCTTTTCCTTTTCCTTTCTCTTTTCTTTCTCTATCTCATTCCTCTGTCTGTCTGTCTAGTTTTTGGGTCGAGGTCTCACTGTGTAGCTCAGGTTGGCCTTGAACTCAGTATGTAACCCAGGCTGCCTTCTTAACTTAAAACAAAATGATCCTCCTGCCTCAGATGCCTCTTCAATCTTTTTTTTGCCGGGAATCTAACTCAGGCCCTCATGCTTGCCTGGCAGGTGCTGTGCTGCTGAGTTGTATACCTGACTTGCCTCAACCTTCTGAATCTTGGGATTTACTTTTTGTTCCTTTGAAGTTATTGCAGTGGTATGGTGTGTGATCTTGAAAGCTTAGTTAGCAATATCATATTTCCTTAAGTCCTATATGTACTTTATCTAGCTTTCCTTGTTTTAAGAATCAAAATTTCAGCCAGGCATGACACAAATGCCCATAAATCTCAGCATTTGGGATGCAAATGCAGGTGCTGAGAATTCAAGGCCAGAGTGAGTTCTAGACCAGCCTAAACTACATGGCAAGACCCTGTCTCCAAACAAAAAAAAAAAGAATGAAAATTTCTTTAGTAAAGAAGTCTTAATCGGGGGTTTAGCTCAGTGGCATAACGGTTTTCCTGGCAAGCATGTGGTCATGAGTTTGATCCCCAGTACAAAAAAAAAAAAAAAAAAAAAAAAAAAAAAAAAAAAAAAGAAGTAAAATAAAGAAGTCTTGGTGTGGTCATTTGCTTTAGGAAAACTAATGTGCCTATGACAATTTGTGAATATTTCCAGTCCTTTTTATTATTAAATAGTCATACAATTATTTTATTTTTATTTTTATTTGGTCCCAGGGATCAAACTCACAGGCCAGGCCAGACGCTTATGCTGCTGAGCTAAATCCCTGGCCCAAGTCGTGGAATTGTAATGTACACTTTTTTAAAAAAGCTTTTTATGTTTGAAATGATTTTATGCTTAAAGAGACATTGTAGCTGGGTGTGGCAGCATATACCTGTAATCCCAGAACTCTCTGGGAGGCTGAGGCAGGAGGATTGCTATGAATTTGAGGCCAGCCTAGGCTACACAGTGAGCTCAAGGCCAATCTAGACTACATAGCAAGACCTGTCTCATAAAGCAACGGCCCTGCCTGGACCCCCCCCCCCAAAAAAAAAAAAATAAAGATGGAGAGATTGCAAATACTATAAAGAGATTCTATATATCCTTTATCAAAACGTGCAGAGCTTTTTTGCTAATTCAAGAGTCAAAGCATTGACATGTATTTAAAGCAGTCAAATATAACAGCACATAGTTAGCTACATTAATTGTACTTTTCTTTTTTCAGCATTCTTTAGCTACAGAAAATATAAGACAGTGAGCTGAATTTTTTCTGTCCTTCCACAGTTCATAAATAAGTTAATCAGCCTACTTGGAACTGCATGCACAGATATATAGGGAAAATTTCACTTCTACTTAATTTATCATGGGTTAAATAATTATATTTTATAAGTTCAATTGATTGTTTACTTCCTAGAGACTCCTAACTGTGATTTCCATTGAAAAATCCAGAAATCTAGTAGGGAAGACATGCAGTACATATTTGAGCTATAAAGGACCATCTACAGTTTGTTTTCAAACATATATAAAACATAAAATGTTCGCGTGCTTTCTGTGAACATTGTTAAATTCCCATTCTTGTGTCACTTTATTTTTAATTTTGTGAAATGTTTAAAATTTGACAACACAAATAAGCACAACATTTAATGTGGAACTGCGTTTCCTTTTCTGGAGAGCCCATACTGAATTCCATTTAGCCAAGTGAATGTCTGGGAACCCATTCTAATAAGTTTTTCTTGCTTCCACCCCTGTCACAGCTACAGAACTAACTCATCTGAAAATGTTTAATGCTCAGTGAGATTTTTAGGCTGTAATTAACTGTAAGAACTGGGTAGCTGTTGGGCAGACTCCATAGAGAAGTGGTAGATTCAGAGCCCTGTGGAAATTACATTACCTTTACCTTCAATTTGTTAAGCACCAGCCAGGGTCTTGAAAAGTATCAGATATAATTTTAGTTTCTTTAGCATCATAAAGCATACCTGCAGAAAGTCCTCCAGTGAGAGTGTGCTGACAAGAGTGTTCCCGAATTTCATACGTTTCATGATGTAAGTTGGCCTTGGATTTGAGCATGCCTGGAGGCCTTTACACCAGTTACCTTCTGTTTTTCTTGGGCTCCAGTGACTGGCCTTGCTACTTTTGTGCGTGTTCTAGAAGTGAAATGTTCAGCCTTTTAGCATTGCAAAGCCAAGAGCAGGGACATGACAGTGCTGACGGTGCTTTCCTTCTCTCCGCCCCTTCCCTCTTCTTCCTAGAAGCACATCGGGAATTCCTTCACCGGCCTGCATCTGGATACGTGCCAGAGGAGATCTGGAAGAAAGCTGGTAAGAATTGTTTCAAAACACAAGTTTGGTGTTCTGGCAGTTGGGTGCAGTTGTTAATGCAGTGCTGTGAAGAATGACAAAAAGGACTTTAGTGCTAACAACAACAATAGCAAAAACAAAACAACCCACAGCAGAAAACAAAAAATAAGAAATAAACCCCTCATTAATGTTCTTAAACTGGGCTTGATTAAAACATGAAATAGATTTTATTTTAGTAGCATCTGCTAGTGCCATTATAATTGAAAAGCTGGCACTATTTCCTTTCTAAATCTCTTTTTCAGGGGCTGTAATGGTTTCAGGCTGGAATAGGAGGTCTTAGCTTACATGCAGTTTTTCTTTAATGAAAAAGCCCCAGTGTTTTGGAAATTAAATTGCACACTTCAGCAGTTTCTCTACATTCTTTAAAGAGATCACATCAAATGTAGTTGACTTGTTAAGGATTTTTCGGTTATAACCGACATATAAAATTGATCCGTGTTGATCAATATTCAGGGATCAGAGTGAAATTACTTTAAGTTAAAAGAGTTGCTAAGCTACTTTTACTTTCCGTATATACTGCCTGCTTCTGTTAAGAGGTATTTTTCTTTGTATTTTGTAGTGTTATTTAGGCTTTAAAAAAAGCGCGAATCTGGCAGATTTGGGCTGGGATACCAGCTGAGCAAAACATACATAAAACCCAACTCAGGAGATAAAGCATCAGCCCGGTTCAGGAGTTGAAGGGCGTACGAAAACACCGCGGCTTGGAGCTGCTCTGATGCCAGCTCTGAGGCAGTTTGTCTCTTGCAGTTGGGAAGCTGGGAGATGCTATTTTTGCAGTGCAGTGAGTACATTGTTGGCAGCACTGATGAAAGAGAGAGAAAGTTTTTTGTTATTGTTTTGTGCAAATAGTTTTGTCTTTGGGTATTGATTTGACTCAGCTGTGTTGTTTGGTGAATATTCCTGAATTTCTGGTTACTTGGATGTTTTTATGTTTATTTATTTATGTAACAAGAGGCAGTTTATTGGGGGGGGGATGGAAAAGAAAGAGGGTAGACAGCTACTGCGAAAGTTAGGGGGCATCATCCCGGAAGCCTATGAGCCTTTATCTCAGGCTGCTTTTATGGGGGACTAGTGTCTTCCCCATCCCCCAAATGGGAGGTCACTTGTATCTTAGCCAAGAATTTGTATACATTTTCTAAGAAATGCTGGTTTTGTAAGGATGACAATAAACTTCAAAATCTTGCCGAGTAGGATAGTGCACACTTGTGATCCCAGTCCTCAGGAGGCTGAGGCAGGAGGATTGCTGTGAATTCAAAGCCAGCCTGAGCAACATAATGGGTTTAAGACCAGTTTGAACTACAAAGCAAAAACCTGTCTCAAAAAAGAAAAAGCTTTAAAATCTGTAGTAGCTTAGATTAAAAACCAGAAAGCTTTCTTGCATGTTCAGATTGCAAATTGTGTAGATCAATTAACTTAAATGTTAAAATGTACATACTGCGGACCTAGTTAGTACTGCCCAGTTTATGCTAGTGGTCGTGTCTTTTCTGCAAATTGTTCAAAACATACTGGGTGTTTCCTACCTGAAGGAGTGGCTACATCTTCCTTCTGACCATTTTTCTTGTTCCTTTTTAAACTGTTAGTACATTTTATTTCAATAAAAGTACAAAGAAGTGTCATTTTGGACAGCAGAAAGATGACTTTTTATGTCAAGGGGAGAGGGTCTCTCTCTGTTTCGCTTACTTACCTGTATTTAAGTTAAATTCTTGATAGTTCTTAAAGGAAAATTGACCGTAAGGTCTTGTGTAATCCAAATTCCTTCTGTGCTATTATCTCCTCAAGTCTTTGTTGGGCTGCTATTAAGTGAGAGCAGATTTTTCTGAATATACCACCTTTGTTGGAAAGTCAACTTGAATAGCTAAGCACAAAGGAAATCCTACTGTAAGTGGTAAGCAATTGGAAGCAGATTTAAAACTGCACTGTGTATTCTCCACTTAATCAGTTTTTTTCCTCTACTTGACATACTATAATCTGTTGATTCTACCTTTATTTTTTTTCACTGTCTGATTTGTGAGTTTTGGAACCCAAACTAGGTTTGCGGGACTTAGAGGTAGAGAAAGAAGAGTACTTGTTGAGTCTAAACCTCATCAAAGAAATGTTTGGAATAATTCTTGATGCATCTGTCCTGTGTATTGAATGGTCTTTATTGTGAAGTATGATTTGGTACTGTGCAGATTAACCTTGGAGTCTTTTCATGGTGATGTCCTACTCATCTGCATCAGAACAGTTTGGGAAGTTTTCTATGGTGGTTGCTTCATTTTAATCAGCATTTTAAATTTCCCAAGTATGGATAGACCTTTCCCCAAAGTGTAGAAATCTCTGCCAACTACTTACAATATTGCTCTGAATAGCCTTCCTGGCATGGACAGTGTCAAGGAATGCACCGTGGTGAAACACCAGAGTGAAAATGAGACCTCTGGGGTCGGCTTGTAACAGTGTGAATGCTTTCCACCCACCCTTGTATTCTGAAGTTGGCTGTGAGCAAACCAAAAGAAACCTATAAAGCATCTTTTCGGTGAAAGCATTGTACATTAGCTTTGTGGCCAAAATAACCAAGGCATTTGAAAAATACCAAGGTGGTGGAACTCTGATAAAACTTTATTCTATAACTAATGCATTTTTTTCACAGAAAATTATAATTATTAAAGTATACACTGTACTTGACATTATGTCATAGTTCTTTGTATCATTTTATTTTGAAGTTGTTTTCAAACTTGCATAAAAGTTTTGAAAAACTAAAACATCCTTTTGTAGTTTTCTTCTAAATTCTCCCAGTTTACTATTTTAATATCTTCTCTCTCTTTTTAACTTCTTTCATTTTCTTTCTCTGACCAGAGAAAGATATAGTGTATACACACAAATTTCTCCCCAGCTATTTGAGAGTAATTTGAATAATGTCTCTTTATATTAAACATTTTAGAGTTTATTTCCTAAAAGCAGATATATATCTACATTACCATAATACAGTTATCAAAGCCAAGACATAAACATTGATATTCTTATGTACAGAATCTATGTACAATAGATTCCAATAATAAAGTTTAATAACACATTAATGAACATTTTTCAAGACTAGAAACCCTAACAAATATTAAACACCATATTACTTTTTCCTAGAAGTAGTGTTTTGTAAAAGCAACAGCAAATATAACATGTACATTCAGGAGTTACAGAGAATGTTTATAAAATCAGAAAAAAAAAACCCTAACATAAAGATGGTTTTAAAATTGCAGCTGAATGTTTTCTTCAGTATTTCTTTTCAAACGATCAGAAAATGTTTGCAGTTGGTAATAAATATTCAAGCACCTTGTAAATGTCCTACCAGTTCTCTTTCCTGATCTGTATATGCCTGTGGGATTAGAATAGGAATGCATAATTTAAATATAAATTGCCTGATTTGCATATACAATTAGTCATGCTACAGCTTTGATCGTAAGCAAAAATTATTGTCCTGTATTACCACTTAGATAGAATTTTAATTCACCTTGAATATTCAAACTAAATTAGACCCTGGCTGTATAGTTAGAAGGGCAGTGCTTCCCTGGTGCCCCTCATTGTTTATGATAGGGTAATAAAGGCATCTTTGGCCCCCTGGCTCTGTAAGCTCAGTCTGCAATACCTTGATTCAATTCAGACTTTAAACGCATACCTGGAAGCAGCCAACACAAGCTTAGCATTTTTAGTTAATATTGCCAGTCTGGATCATTTCCTTATTTTTTTTTCCCCCATTGGTAAAATCTAGCAGACAGAATTTACAAGCAAATGTTCAGGAATAATGCTCCTGAAGTGATCGGCCACAAAAGTCATGACTGTGAATTACTTGTACAGAATTGCTGACAACCCCAAAGTAGACTATGTATAGATGTGGGAAACAAACCATAGGAATTTAAGAAAATGTAGGACTCCTTGCATCTTTTACATTTTTAATCTACAGTAAAACACTTTTATTAGGAATCTATGTTTTTAATTAAACAGAACATTTAATTAAGGTGCTTTTTAAGTGGGTGAAACAATTAAGTGCAAACACTTGAATGAAACATGTCATAATTAGTTTTAATAGAGTGTTAATTGGTACTAGGTTTGCCAAGTTAATAATTACTGCTTATTAAATTTTCAATTAATCATTGTCATTTTGCTTTGAATAAAGATGAAAATTAGATAAACTAATTCAGGGGGAGGATATTTTCCCATGTTAATTAGAACAGTTAATTTTTTAAAATGGAAATTACTTGTTTTAGTTGTCAATCTTATGTTGTACATTAGTTGAATCTTTGCACTCTTACTGGAGCCAAAAATAAGAGTTCATCAAACACCTTGCAGATTTGCAGTCGGGGCTGGCTGTGTTGGCTGGTAGCAGATGCTGTCTGTCCAGGGCAACAGTTGGTTATTCAGAACCCTTGTATACATTTGACGAGGTCGAAAGACAACAGCTTAAACTTAGATATTAGAGTATATTAAAAGGCAGTCATATAGTGTATTAAACTATGTATCTGTATTACTCAAAAAGTGACTTCAGAAAATGTAAAACCAGACCATCTATTTCATTATCAATTTTGTTTTTTTAAGACAGGGTCTCACTATGCCGTTCAGGCTGGTCTCAAACTTGCAGTGAGCCTTCTGCCCCAGCCTCCTGAGTGCTGGAATGACAGGCATGCGCCACCACACTTGGCTTATCAATTTTATTTTAAAAGTTTGTGTTAATTGCTGAGGTCTCCTTTAACTCTTATGCTGCTTTTTTTTTTTTCCACCATAAAATAATGGTTTTCTCTCATGTCTTTGTTCATATAGAATGTGCCCCTTCCTGTTTGCTGAATGCTTTCCCTAAAAACTTCCTGGATTCATGTTAACAGTGTTGGAGGGCCTCCTCTTCATGTGTCTGAGTGGCCTGGACAGGTGTCTTGTGGATAATTAAAAGTGGTCTCAGAATCAGGCCTATGGGCACTAGCTTGGTAGGAAAGCGGTGGACTGATACTACATACACTTTAAGTGTGTTTCCAGAAGCAAGTTAAAGCAAAATGCTAACCCCAATTCTCACGCTTTGCTTCCCTAAGTGAATGTCAAAGATTGCTAGTTTTTCCAGACAGCCAGAGCTGCACAGTAATTTGGGTGAGAGCTTTGCCTGCTCTGTAAGTTCTCTTCAAGGTGACCAGTGTCCAGGGCTGGCACTCATGTGGCTGATCTTGGTCTGTTCTGCCCTGTCTGACCCTTCCACAGAGGAGGCCGTGAACGAAGTGAAGCGCCAGGCGATGACTGAGCTGCAGAAGGCGGTGTCCGAGGCAGAGCGGAAAGCCCACGACATGATCACGACGGAGCGCGCCAAGATGGAGCGCACGGTGGCCGAGGCCAAGCGGCAGGCGGCGGAGGATGCGCTGGCCGTCATCAATCAGCAGGAGGACTCGAGCGAGGTGAGGTGGGGGCTCCCCAGGGCAGAGGGTGGTTTCCACCGCCAGAGCGCTCTTTTGATTTCAGGAGGTGACAGATCACAGCAGATAGTAGATTTTAAAGCTTTGGGGGGAAAATGTAGACCACTTTGGAGAAGTGGAGGCACTTGTGGAAATTGTTTTCTTTATTAGAAACCTAAAAAAAAAAAAATTAAAAAGGTTTTTAATGTATTTGAAAATAGATTAATGTGACATTCTTGTAACTTTCTAGCACTATTTAAAGACTCACAGTTTGGCTCCGTGTGTCACACGCAGGCACACAGGATTTTCTTCTAACAGAAGTGTTCGAATAGATTGTGGTCCCCAAAGACATATGGCATCCTGGGATCAGATTCACTTCTTTAGCTATTGATCTCAGAGTCCAACTGTAAAAACATGTTTTTACATCAACTAAATGTTGGTAAAAGATTTTGTATGCCTTCTGTATTTCCACATTATTTTTCATAACTATAAGATTGTCCTTACATCACTTTGCTGTCAGAAATAATATTATTTAGTAGTATTCTAGTATATTAATTCCACATACATACACATGCACTCACAAATAGCCCAAATGACTCAAGGATCTGGGAGGTAAATAACTAACATATAACACAACACAATTTTTAAAAATGTCCTATAAAATCAGGGCATCATAGATCTGCTCCATTCTAATTAATACAGCATCACAATCATCAACTCTCAAGAAACTTTAGCTAAAAGGCTACAATTAGCTAGTCTCACAGAGCTGAACTCAAAGGCCTGAACTGATAAATCAATGGTCTACTATAATACATATCTATAATTTGTGAGGGAGAGTCAGAATTTAATTTGAACCAGGCTTTTCTGTAGATGAAAGACGCTGCGGGAATCACTCAATGCCCAGAGTTTCTATTTAATGTGTAGCAGATGAATAACAAGGGGACAAAAGGAATTGATTTTCAACGTTTGAAAGTTTCTCAGGAAGAGAGGGACAAAGGGAAGTTTATCTACCCTTTAACTGCTGACTTTTCCATTGTCGACCTAAACTAGACAGAAATTCAATTTTATTGGCATTTAGCAGCTGAGATATATAAGGACTTTGTGCATTTTTTTCAGAAAAAAATTTTATTAGCATCTTTTGAAGAGAACTTTTGTACACGTTAGTAACGTTGTGAGTCACACTTATCATCTTGCAAAACAGAGCTGGCTCACAAATGTCTTAGGACCATGTATATGTTAAGAATATTCTATAGGTGCCTGAATTGTAAAAGGTTGAGGAAGAAACTTAATTAACAATTCTTAGCCTGGTGTGGGTGGTGCATGACTATAATCCCAGCACTCGGGAGACTGAGGGAGGAGGATCATTGCAAGTTCAAGACCAGCCTGGGCTACAAAGTGAGCTCAAGGCCAGCCTAAGCTGCATAGCAAGATCCCGACTCAAGACCAAAAAAAAAAAAAAAAAGTAACAAATCTTTGTGTTTGGACAATGACGTAGTGTATGCTTTTGATATCTGCTGTATAAGCTTTGTGTCTTTATTATAAAATCTACCCAGGAAAATACACGATGTTAACGTGGCTTTTTAGTATTATCTACATATAGTCTATAGGGTTGAGCTCAAGTCTGCAAAGCTTGCTGGCCCCTCTAGGCAGCCAGAAGAGCTCTAGCTTCCCGGGATGAGCAGAGCACCCTGTTCCAACTCCACTATGGTTAGTGTCCAGGCTGGGGACCCTGTCAGGTTAGGACCCTGTGGCCCAGCTATCTGTCAGGATGGTTTGGTAATTCTCAGAATTTTCACCTACGATGTGACACTCAGAAATTTCTTGATAGTTAACTATTTGACCCCATATAAGGCCCACATAAATGTACTTTAAACATTTAAAACTTTTCATTTGCTTGTGGGGGAAAAAGAGTAAAGGTCTGGCTATGATAGTAACAATATATCTACATTGCCATTAAATTAAATGGCTATTGATTTTCAAAGTATGTTAGAAATTAATGGACCCTCTTTTTGTGAACTGCCCAGGGAAGTGGTTCTATGATACATACACCTTTAAATTAGACACATATATTTATTTGTTTACACTCTCAACAAACGTTTGAGCTTTTATTATGTATCAGGGACAGTTCCTGCCCTGAGAGGGTGCAACAGTGACTGCTTGTGTTAGCTATAATTCACTGAGTCCAATAACTAAATTATACGGGTCACGAAAAGTTTAACGCAAAGGCCTCTCATACTTGAGGATGACCAGGACTGGTCAGCCACTCTGCTCCACCCCTCCTCACCCCTTCCTACCTTTTGCTGCTTTCTCGGGAAGTGGGCATGCTTCAGTCATGTGGGAAAGAGGCGAGACAGGGAGAGAAGCTTTGGAAGCAGGTGACCCCGTGGTAGTGAGTGTGGGGCAGAGATCAGCCCTGAGTGTAGTGAGAGTGGGGGCATCTCTTCCACAAGAGAGGTGGGGAGGAAGATGGCTGGGTGAGTGTGGTCGGTGGGGGTACCAGGTGTGGGGTTAAATGGATGTAGTCTGGTTACCTACGAGATGGAATGGGAGGACATGACAGGTGACTCGCTGTCAGGAAAACAAGTCATGGCCTTTCAGTGGACCTACTGGGCTTGGAATTCTTACATCAGGTGATGTCACTTGAACCACTTTCAGAAACTTGCTGGCTTTGATTCATCCCAGATATGTGTAGGGGTGGCAGGAAAGGTGACCTTTGTTTACTTTCTGTGTGTGTGTGTGTGTGTTTGTAAACATAAGTCACACGGTCTCAACGGTTACTGAATGGTCACATCGTGCAGAGTGGCAGAGGAGTCCAATACCGTGGCTCAGAAGACTGGAGTGAAATGGTCCCCACTCAGTTATCATTTCAGGTTATTTATTTACTCTTGTCAGACTCTGCTTCTTAAGAAAATGTGTTATTCGCTTATCTTACAGAGCTGTTGAAAATATTATTTTTACATCAGTATTTTCCTTTATAGTCTCAAGAGCTAAAATTCATGACATTATCCACTCATGTTTCCCATGGCACTTCTTCCTGGCCTATACCGTACTAAACTTTCATGGCTGGGACCACAGTTCTTTCCCTTTTTCCTTCTCTTTGCTTTTAGCCACCTCCTACTATAAAAAATCTGTCTCCTTCTGATGTGTATAACCTATATAATCAAAGTCTATAAAATGCATGTGGATCATGCACACAAATTACTGTATCTCTGCCCTTTTCAGGGACTTGTAGGTGGAACCTGAGCTTCATAATCCAAATACTTGAGTTGCAGGCCTGCAGAGCACTGCGTTTCTTCTGCGTTTGTGTTAAATGCAAGAATCTGAAACTGTCTGTCTGTACTTCCTCACTGAGCCTTCTTCCTCCTTTCACATGTAAAATGGAACTGGTTAGTAAAACCAGAGATTCTCAAAAGTTGACAGTAGAAGATCCAAAAGATCTTAAATGAGGACAGCAGAGTTGAAAACATTTTAGGAGACCAGCAAGGAGAAAACACAGAAGCAGGAAGGAATAATGCATGGATATTATTTGGACAGGGGTGGAGCACCCTATAATGTGTTAACCAAACTTGGACCCTTTGCATAGTGACATGGTGCTTTTGCTAGGACAGGCCCCTCCTTGAACCAGGCTGTCCTAGGCAGTGACAACCCCATGGTCAGCAGAGTGACTGAGTGATCCTCAGTCACTTGAGTTGTTCTACCAGAGATGAAATGAGATAGCCCTACAATGTGACTGTGTAGCCCTGTGCCAAGTGTAGATCAAAATTCCTTTCTGTTCAGTAGTTCATTTTCTTCCCATGTTGTTCCTCTCAGAGTAGAGTTGTTTTCTTCATTTTGCAGGTAAGAATGCTGGATTGGAGAGGGGCTCAGTCACTTGCTCAGCATCTCACACACACTATGTGTGAGTGGATCCTAAACCTGGATTACCTGGCTCTCAACCACCTTCTCAATAGCCACATGGCAGTGGTGGAATTTTCTTTCCCTGACTGTGTCCTGGGGTATTTGTTTCTTCGCTAGACTTTTCTTCATTCATTTCTACTTAGTTCCTTAACTTTGAGTTTATAGACTAATAATTATTATCACTAACAGAATAACACTTGGGACACATCCTAGTCAATATGGTACTTTATTTTTTTATACATTTCACTGAGAATGTAATACTATCATTAGTGTAAATCAGAAGATACTAATAGAATCTAGTCATCTTGAACTGCTAATTTTTTTTTCAATTTACATTTTCATTTCCTAACTGTGCATGGCAGTTTTTTCCCAGTGAACATTGTCAGATTACAGCAGTTTGCAGTGTAATATCTACAACTCCTCTTAGAAGTCTGTTTGTCCTAACTTGGATGATTGAACCAAGTCACTAGCAGGAAGCATGAAAATTGATTAATAATTGTACTGTTCTCTAGTTAATGCTGTGCTTAAGGCACCAAAATGTTCCTCCCTACATGAAAACAGCCTTCACAGGTACAGAACTGCATAGGTAGCTCAGGATGGGCATTTCTGTGGCAGAGAACAGAAACACTGATCAGACCTTTACACTTTGTATTTTGAAAGCCCGCTGAATCCTGATGGTGTGAGCAGATCATGTTCTCCTTTGCTCCTTCCCGAATCTACTGGTACCACCCCCAGTAGTGTGTCTGCAGTGTGGCCTAAACGCAGGTGTCATCTGTATAAGTGTGGCTGTCACATAGGGAACTCAGTGTGGTCCTGGTAAAGCACTCATAGAACAGCCAAATCCTGAAACATGAGCTAGGATACTGTTTCAGTAAGGTGTTTGTTAAATTTATTGAAAAACCAGCTCTCCTCTCCCTTCACCTATTGGTATGCACTGGGTGTTCCGGTTTTGATCTGAAAGGTCTCATGTTTGGAACTGAATCCTGGTCAGATGGGGTGTGTCATGGAGCAGGGGTGACCTGGAAGGCTCCATTCTGTCCTTGGTTCCTCCTTTCTCTCTCTGCTTCCACTTTCTGGCTGCCATGGAGTGAGCAGCTTTCCTTCAC